CACAGAAGGTCTCCGAAATCATACATACATACATACCTACCTATGTACAGGCGTACTTTTCCTATTTTCTATATTTTCATATATTTTAATATTTTGATGTGTTTTAATGTTCTATACATTTTCTATTATGTATCTTTATCTCTATATTTTAGCTGTTTTTATTATTTATATACGTGAAACAAAATGCGCACGTTTAGGTGCTGCGTATGTGTAAGTTGCAAGTTGCCTCTCTCCCTGCAAACTAGGTACGGATAGGAGGAAATACATCCCGTTCATCAGCTTTAAATGCCGAGGGAAGGGCCCAGAGCCGGCTCCTACAGCTCCAGCAGGAGGGCGGCTGCAGGAAATGCCACGCAGTTCCCTGTTACCTGCTGCCTTATCTCTTTCTGCCTACCTGGGAGGTGCGGTGGGAATTTTAACCTTTCCCAGAGGGATTCTTCACCCAGGGCAAGTGTGCCCATTTGGCTCAAGCATGTAGAGCGTGGACTGAGTCAAACTGTGCAAGGCATGCTGACACTGAACTTCTGGAATGTCTTGAACCGATTTGGGCCAAACTGACTTTTTTTTTCTTTAGTGAAATCAGTGCCGTTTTCTCATGTAAGGAAGACCAGAGAAAGACCTGATTCTGTTTCGAGAGGCGCTGACAGGAGAGCGCAGAGCGGGGAGAACAGAGCACAGGGCATAAGAGTAGTGAGAGAGAGACGATACAGTGACTGAACTTGGGTGTCCTCATTTGGACTCTCCCTTTTAAAAAAAACAGGTACTGCTAATTCATTTTCTAAGAACAGCCTGGATGGAAAGCGTCAGGGAAGAAGCAAAGTACCACTGCTTTTTTATTTAATGTCCCATTCTGCCAGAAGCAGAAAGGCAGCTGTAGTAATTTTGCCCAGTGGAGAGAGATTAGCGCTGAAACGCAAGTGTGAGAGCACGATTTTCAACAGCAGCAATCCGTCTCTGCCCAGTTCCCTGAGCGCGGCAGAGGGGAGCCATAGCAATAATCTTCTGTAATGTTAGCTCTCCCTTACCAGGTCTGTGGTATTAAGCGTAAGAATAAAGCATACCATTAATGGTATGTTTGACTAGCATCAAATTAAAAGATCCGATTGCAAGGTGCCAAAGGATTAAAACAGCAAGACCAGATGAGCTCAGTGCTCCAGACAAGCCCGGTAAAATTTGCCTTCTGATAACCATCAGGGGCAGATACAGCAAGGACAGGAACTCCTGCCTCCCTCTCTCCACTCCTGACAGCACATGTATGTGTCTAGGAGAGGGATTTCCTTCCACTGCCAGGCGGCTCATAGGCTGTTCGCTGCAGACAGCCAAACTTTTCCTTTACCTCACCCAAATGAAAATACTGACTATTCCTAAAATCGCCAAAGCTTGGTAGAAGACTACATTTCCTTATTAATGTATTTTCAGCAGGCATTCTGTAAGTTAGTCTTGTTTGTAGCTCTGTAACTTTTAATTTTGTAACCTCATTTTATGAGTTGTCCTTTTCTCCTTGTGTCACAAAAATGTCTGTTCCTTAGCAATGTCCAGAGAACCTTTCTTTGCTTATCACTGTTATACAGGGATCAGTCTTGCTGATGTGCATAGTTGTATCTTCAGAGTGAAATAAAAGCAATTTTCAACTGTTGTTCCTCATCTAAAAGCTTCTAAGCCTTCAGTTATTATTGTCTCCTTTTGCATTTTGGGGTTTTGTTTGCTCTTTTATATGATTGTCCACGTGACTTTTCAGAAGTATGAAGTATACTTACATGCTCCAGTGGAAGTTGCTCATGAATGCCTTAGAAACTCAGTTTGATAATCTAGTGCAAAGCATAGCATTCAAGGGAAGGAGGAACTCTAATTTATACAATAGCATTAAAATACTTCTGCTATTACTCTGGACAGTTTCATATGGAAAACCACTTTTTTTAATTGGGACTGCACATAAATACTTTGCACTGATGTATCTATAATAATGTTTAAAGTTTGGGGAAGGCTTAAAGGGAGTTAATCCACACTGTACTACACTGTTTCATCAGTAGCCACATTGTTCAAAATGTAGTAAGCTCTGAACAAACAGCACTTGCTCATGAGTTAGCTACAGGTCAGGAGATTTGCCTGTTGGTACTTTAAAATGTAGAAGCAGTATTACTGAGACTCTAAGGTAGAATTTCTAGATGCAGATGATTTCCTGCATAGCATCTTTGTAATACTGCAGTTTACTGTTCTTGAATCCTTTCATTTCTATTCTTCATTTCACTGTACAGGTTAATTCTTTTTTTCTTGTCATTTATACTACAAATCAGATGACTGCATCCTGACATACAAAACCTTCCTAAGGTGGGATTTCCAAAATTCGCAGTGTTTATCCAACTTTTTCTCCTGTCTGGGCAATGGACATTACTACTCTACATTTCTGTGAGAGCAGAGGGGCCAGTTCTGAATGTTGTAAAAAATCCTCTCAGACTGTCCACACGTGAAAATTACTCCCGGTTACAGTCAGAGGTGAGTTTATAGCCAGGGAGCAAATCCAGGATCATCCCATGTGTCAAACTCTGTTTTCTAGGATCAGTATAGCAACTCACAGACCCGTTCCAGAACATTTCTTCTAGGATTGCCCTGCCAGCAAGCAAGCCCACGCCACTTTTGCTCCTGATAACCTGGGAGATTTGCAGACAGGAGGCTGTTTTCAGGAGAGCTGGGTTACAGCAGTGTGGAGATGCTACTGCCACTGAAGAATTCAGGACTGCAGAGCCATCGTGGTCAAAGTTTGTCACCCCTCTTCTGTCAGCCATCAGGCGCACGTCTGCACGGAGCCCCACCATGGGTTGAGGTAAAACCCAGTGCCACTGCCAGCAGCAGGAGACCTTGCTTGCTGAATGCTGTGAGTCAACTAAATGGCTATTTAAATGGCATTCCTAGATGGAAAAATAAGGTTTTTTAATTAAATAAGAGAATTGCTAGGGCTGCAGTATGTTCCACTCTGATTTATTTGTGTGTTTGGTTTGACTGTTTTTTCTTTCTAATAATCTCCACTATTCTACAGTAGTAATACAAACCACTATTGTTTATTCGGAGATTATGACTTCAGATTGTACTGTTGATAATAAGAGAAGGAATACAACTAAAAATGTGGTGTTCTGTAAAAGTGTTAGTTTGTGTGTGGAAGAAAATGCCAATTGTTGGTAGACCATTCAAGTGGGATCATGATAATGACTAAACAAATAACTTCCAAATGTCTTGCGTGAGGTGGAAAGCTGATGTCCAGTTCCCCTGACATATTTTTAGTTGAATCCCTCAAAGCTGGGAATGAAGGACCTACAGATCTTGTAAAAAGTGGAGATGAGTTCTTTGTAGTCCATCAAGACGTGAACACTTCACCTATTCTAGAGCTCATTTCTTTTAAGGATCTTTATATTGAGCATTCACTGACACCACAGGGTTTGTAATGGTTTATGTGCCTCTCCTTTACATTTTCTGGAGTTTTCGTGGTACAAAGCATTAGTAGTATCATCTTCAACAGTCTCCATCAAAAATCTCAAGCTTCAAAAACTGTAATTTTCAAATAAATGGTCACCACTGGCTCCGCTAAGAGCTTGAAGGTGTGAGTGTTAAACCAAGCTGCCCTGTGCTGTATTTGAAGGGGACAGGTTGAACAGGTCGTTAATATCGTGTGCTCATGTTTCTCATAAGCAAACACTGCTTTGAGAAGCTGCATATCACCAAAGAGCGCTGGTGCACTTGGCTAACAGCCCTTTACTTTTGCAGCTTTGCAAGGTCTTTGGTTCTCTGTTGGTTGTTTGCCAGGGAACTGCAGAGTTGGTTGGGGATTTTTTGCTGAAAAGCTCTGGAGATATTGCTCATTTTTCTTCCCTACAGGCAGACTTGCATAATTTTTAAACAAGACTAGGATGTGTAGTAATAGGCTTAATTTTTTTTTCTTGAGTGTATCATACGCAAATATGAATTTCCATGCCTTAAGCTAAATCAGAGGTTTAGAGGAAAAATTCTTAGTTAGCTTTAAATTATGTCCTGATTTTCAGCTTTATCTGCTTAATCTTGAGAAGAGAAATCATGCCATCGTCTTCTCTAGTCAACTTCCAGGCTGCCAGGTATGCAGTCCTAGGTGAAAGAGGTCCTGGAGATAGCTGTTCTTGGGGAATATCCGGATGCTACAGGTCACTTTAAATAGACACATCTCCTTCAAATCAAAATGATTGCAGCCATTTTAACTCCAGAATGGGAATATTGTAACACTTGCCAGTGAACCTAGATTTGCACTAGGAGCACTTTGCTGCTGTGGCTGCACTGATAAACAGTGTCAGGAAGCGATTCCACAAACCTTTCTCGTGGAAGGAGGGTAGCTCTTGCTTTGTCTCCATCACGGCGCAGTGTGCCTGGTGTGGTTGTTGATGCCTCCTCGTAGGGCTGCATGAGGCACCAGAGCAGAGAACTGGCTGGGTTAGAAATACTCCAGTGGCCTTTTGTCTTTCACAAGCACGATACCTGCACGCTAACTATATTTGGCTTGTTTGTGATCATCACCCACTATGTCAACATCCTGTTTTGACAAGGATCCCATTTTATGAGTTTTGTGTTTGAAATTGTTGTTGGGCTGTGCTTCTGTAGAAAAATTCTGTCCCCTTTTAAAAATAAATTGACTGTAAATTCCACTGGTGTTTAAGGAACTTCTTGGTTCCCTTTGAGCTCTCGTCTAAGCACAACAGATGAAAATTCAAAGAACTTCTATGACAAAGGAGAAGAAGGTGTTTTTTCAGTCACCAGGAAGATGATGAAACAGAAAAGAGGGCACAGTGAGGAGCCTGAGTATATAGGAGGTATGGAATGGTATAAATGTTTATCTTTACTGTTTGCTCTTTTTAATATAGTACATTAGATATAAATTGTGTTTTACAAAGCGTTCAAGAGGCAAGTTCTCTCTCTGAGGAGCTTGCTCAGTGCCAAAGGAAACCAAAGGGGTGTCAATGTTTATCCATAAAGTAATCACACTTGTGACTGCATACCAAGTCTAGTTCAGTTCAGTAACCATGGGATCTATTTCACGCTTACATAAAAGTTCGATGTGTTGCTCAATGAGGCACCTGTAGATCTAAATGTGTTTACGCTCATTCATACCTAATTTTTTGGTGCCCATAATCTCTTTATCGGACTATTATCTCGCTTAGCCTGACATTTAGCCATGCATCCTTGTTCTGCTTTTCCTGGTGATTGCCTTTCTGTGACGTTGTAAATTATCTACGCATAACCCAAGTCACTTAATGTTTCTGTATTTTTTCCTGGATAGCAGCGGTTTCTTTCTGCACTGAGAACAGAAGTTGGGTGGTATCAGTGGTTATTTTTGCCACTGTATGCAAAATGATGCAAGAGGTGATAGTACTTCTTGTGCTTCAGAGGGCTTTATTTCTACATCAGAGCTTAGAATAGGGAAATATAACTGAATGTGGGTAGATGCAATTTATATCCCATCTGAGTATAACGAGACATGTAGACTGTCCAGCTGGAGGGCTATGTCTTACTTATGCTGTAATGTGGTAGTACTGCTTAACAGGGCCACTGATAAAAGTATTGTAACTCCATTGCCAGAATCAGATGCAAGGCTTCAGTATGTTTCTTTCGGGAAGTAACATTTCATTAGCAGTTTATATGTGTTGGAAATTTTTCTTACGAGATGGGTAACTAGAAAACAAAAATGCACTATGCACCTGCAATAACGGTTGTGGGGTTTCATGAAGGTTTTCTAGCTCAACAATCCTGTAGTGACACAGTGGATCTGCTGTGGATTTTGCCACTTTGGTCATACATTTGGCCTTACAATCTTGTTGAGAAACCTGAATATTGCTACTCAGAAAGTGCCTTACACATTGGGGTCTTTGGATCTTTCTTCCTTTCTGAAGTCTAGCAAACCCCTTTATTGTTCTAAACTGAATTTGTGAAAGGGAACCTACTTACTATAGCGGGAGCTCTTTCTAATTACATACCAGCACACTATAATAGGATTAATAGGTTGTGCTGGGTCTGTCATCTTCACTCTTCCCACACTGCTGTTATTGAAGTAGAAGTATCCTGGGGGCCAGGCTGGCTATGATGACTTTGATCCCATCACTAGAATATTCAACTGGTCTAGATTTTTCCTTCAGATGGGCAATTAGATGGTCTGGTTCTTTTTGTTTGGATTGCTTAACCAGGATGTGGGAGATGTTGAATCATATCCCTTCCTCATCTAAAGGGATTATGAACCCAGATTTACTACTTTACAGGAAAGTCCCCCAACTCCTAAGAATAATCTTGGCCAAGATGTTTTCCAATCCCTCCTCTTAAAGTGAACCATTTCTTGTTGGAAAGAGAAGGTCAGGAGTCCACATGCCACCTTGGTGGGCTGACCTGGGTTCCAGGCAATGTTTGCCCAAATACGCAGTACAAGAAATTCGGCCCTTGGGCAGAAATAGAAAGTGATTCCCAGGGAGGTCTCTGACCTCAGAGCTGTTGGGTAAGCGTGGGCAGGGGTGAAGACCTTGCTTCCTCCATGGGCTGCCTTTTGGGAGGAGGAGCTGGTCTGTATGGTGAAACCCAGGAGCGCAGGGTGTCAGATCCTCCCCGGCAAAGGGTCCTGGCTGCCCAGGAGAGATGCTTGCTTTCTGAGACGGAAAAGCTCCTCTCCCTGGAGTTTCTTACAGGCTGATGCAACTGCTCCTCATGCAACAAACCAGCTCTCACTTACCCCTTCCTTGGTGGAGGCTCTGCCCATGCCTGGCAGGGGAACACCACGGCTCTGCTGTCCCAGGCAGGCGCTGCTCGCTGTAAAAAGTCCCCTGGTATCGCTCAGCCCAAACGCAGAATGTACAGTTTCCCCCACTGATGTTAAAAATACATGTGAAACTAAAAGTTAAAAAAGAGAAGCAGTCTAGTTGAACTGCTCTAATCTGAAAACCCCCCAGCTCTTCCCTACGCCTGAAGCTACATGCGACAATGGTAATTCTGGTGTGGAGAGGGAAGACGTGGGGTATCTCCCTTTGTAGTTTAGCTCTGCAGCATCAAGCCTCACTCCCTGCTGCTCTTAGCTTGATCTTCTTCATTGTTATTTATAAATGCTCAAATCTTGGGATTTCTATGGTCTACTTTTCTCTTATAGTGCTTGTCTGGACTTGTCAGGATGAAGTCCTTAGACTTTCAAAACATGTCTATGTGAATGCAGCAACGTGTGTTCTCATTAGTCCCTGTGAATACAGTAACCATTGGCAAACATGAACAGAGAGCAAAAGCTTTGGTCAGAATTACAGGCACTTTTAAGAAAGGATAAATTAAACTTTCGTGTTTCATCTCACAGTATTTTCATTAGGTGTTTGTAATAGTCTATGCAAAATTTCTGGTGTGAAGTTGCATATTTTACACATTTTGTAAAACTGCTACTTTCTAAAATTTTATTTTCTACTATTTTTTTTTTAAAGACTTTTCAAAAGTCATATGGAAGACATTCCTTGGACACTGCTATGCAGTTATCAGCTACATGCTATGTCTCCCATTTAGCTGGGGTGTCACATGCCTATTTAGTGAAATCTGCTGCTTTCTGCTTGACATCCAGCATGTGGTTCCACAACTGTTACGAGCTGATATCAATGTGGGAAAGATGCTACCAAAAAGAGCGTCACTTGTGTCCGTAGTCTGACTTCTGCCACAAGTCACTTTTTCTCACCACCTCCCGTGTGTGTCAGTGCTGGCATTTGAGCAGCTGTGTCAGACTGGGGAGAGGATCTAGTTGGCAACTAAGCCACCAAAGGGATTTAATAAAAAATAGTTTTCATCGGGATCTGTTCTGTGATCTGAGTCACTCCATGTCTGCCCAAACGCTTGTGTCGGTATGATGGAGCCAGCTGCAATGCCTGACTCCTAGGACGGTACCAATAACAAATTATAAAAATCACTGTGGCTTTGTGTTGAACATGAAAAATGTTTTACCTCATGTCGAAATAACATTCACCTCTCACATCTCCAAAGCAGCACATTGAAACCAGATAAAAAAAAGAGAAAGTTTTAAGACATTGACATGTGCATCACTTTTTGTTAACAGACAAAGCTAGTAGCTAAATTCAATTTGAATTCATGAGGACTTTTGTCTCCCCACCTGCTTTCAGCTCCAGACTATGTTTTGGACATATTTGCTATTCCCTGAATGGTCTTTTTGGCCAGCCCTACCTGCTTGCCCGTGGAAAGCCATTGCACATGTTTTATGCTGTTGTAGCTCCACTGATTTTGACAGGACTCCTCTTGCCTGTTGAAAGAGCAAAGAAAGTCAAGCTGAAGAGTTTTGAAGCCACAGACCACTGTCAGTGCATGCTTTGCCATCCAAATAGGTAAGTCCACAGCTGACAATTTTTTTCTACTAAGCGATGTGATGGGGTTGCAGGACCCTTTAGACTGCAAATGTCATGAGCTCCTAACTTCTGGAAAGCAGAGCTTTTGAAAAGAGCGTTGGTGTGTTGACAGATGGTGTAGCCAGAACTTCCAGTGCTCTTGGGTCTACCGAGAACTTCTGCAGAATCAAAAGTCTGCAAACAGTCAGCAAAACAAAGCTGATGTTTTCTGGCTTCTAACGATGATAATAAATGCAGGGGAGGCTCCTTTAACATCTCTAGAATTCCATTACTTTCTGTTTCATGTTTCATAGCTTCCTAATTGTGTCCACATTAAGCAGATTTTTGTATATTCTTTCAGAGAACTGGTCACAGGGGTAATGAAAAGAAGTGCTTCTCAAAAGAGAAAGGTCAGCGTCACACAGAGGGAAAGCTGTTTTAAAACTTTCTCGATGGTACGGTAAAATTCCTGTAAGAGGGTGAACTCAATGGCAACATTTCTACTGAATTCATTATGAGCCTGGCACTGTCTTATACGTAAAAGGAAAGACAGACAAATGGATAAAGTGGAAAATGGCTTCTACCATCCCTTCTACTTTCTGTATAATTTGTTCACTCTCTTCTGAGCCTCAGCTCCTTCTCATCAAGCTTTGAGAAAACTTTTCTAAAAGTAGTACCATCATAGCAAAGGCTAGAACAGTAAGAAATATATCTAATTTTTTGAGCTACCACAAGGAAGAAAACGAGTCAGATCGTATCAGAAAAGGAAGAACTACTGGTCCCAAACATTAGATGACATCTGCTTGAAATCCTTTGCTTGCCATTGACGTGGGACACTTCTTTGCCAGGGGACAAAGTCACTCTGCCTGTTCTGCCACTTCTTCCTTTGAGTTAGCCCCTTAAGCACTAGTAATGTTGACATAGCCTAGAGTAACAAGAAGAGCGTAATGATTAAATGTCACAAAGTACATGATGGGGCCATGACATTTCATAATTCCAAAATGAAGTCCCAG